ATGAGCTTGAGAACCTGACTTGCCATATGTGTCTAACTACCGACGAGACATCCTACCAGACATCCAATCTCCATTTAAAAATTCTTGCTAGTCAAATCTGGCTTTGCAGCTTAAAGAGTTACACTTTCCAGTAAGACAAGACCACAAATGATGACGGGAAAATCCTTTTTTTAGAAGACAGTGATATGTAATGACAAGTGTTTTGAGCATTTCTTGGTTTTTATGAAAGAACAATTTCAACAGAATTTCACTTTATGTTCTGTCTTTTGGCCTGTTTGTGACTAAAGATGCGAAATGGTACTTGTAACAAAATGGAGCAAGTAAACGATGTTATGCTCCTGACTTAATTGAGGATTTAATACCTCAAAATTTTGTGTCACATTCTCGATGAATCCACAAAGAATTACTGTACATGAATATCTAAGAACTGGCAAAATTTGGCAACTGACCACTATTATAATTAGCTGCAAAGTAAGTAATGCACTGTCCATCTGCACATCAGTACCCAAGTACATTCCAAAACAAGTACATTTAAAGCACTGAACGTTTCTTTTTAGGATATATTGCTTCACCCACCGTATTTTCCCCTCTTCGCGTAAGTACATTGTCATCATTTGAATTGACCCAAACTTCTGCAAATTCAAATCGCTATGTTTGATTGGAAGTGGGTCATTTCGATTTTTGACAATGGCACTTAAATTCCTGTGAAAAAACCTTTGGTCAAATGGCAAGATTTAAAGTACAAGGTGGATAGGTAATTTAAGAAGCATATGCTTTAAATTCATGTTCTATGTTAACTTATGTTCTATGGAATGTTAACTTATGCAGTGTTTGCAGCCAAAAGGCTTTAGCATCGACCTTCAGTGGCTGCACTTCCTCGGCTTGCCGCCTAGTCCCGTCATGTGCGTACCTGCGTGCTACCTCAGCTTGTCATCTCCGACGTGCTTGAACATCAGCTTCGGAGTTATCGTGCAATTGAATGCGCGAATGATCGTGGCATATTGCCCTCTTAGTTGTGTTTTGAACTTCTCATCGGGTTAATAACAGGTTTCCATCGTTCTGATCCGAAATTTTAATTGAAATAAATGTTTGCTGTGCATGTACCTTGCATTTTTATTGAGCTCGAACACTTCATCAAATTTCAGTCACGAGATTTTTCGGTAAAACGCTGTTTTGCATTGCCTATATGCACGGCGTTGTAGAGACAGCAACCTCAGATGCTGGAGACTTTCTTCTCTTGGTGTCCATTCGTAAGGAAAAGCAATAACTTCACTATTTTTCCAGTTTGAAAGGACTCGAAGTAATACGGAGGAATGCTAATAAAAAATGGTCGAGAAGTTTTTTAGATACATTTTAATTATTTGTAATTTTTGAGATTATTTACTTTAGTTAAGACTGTTATCAGCATTGAAACATGGCAGTGTAATAAAGGAAAGTAAAAGTAGGTTGATTGAAAACATTTAAAATGGCATACTTCAAAAACCTCGTGAAGATTTCTATTCAACCTCAATTGATATTTTCAAAAAACGCGTTTTGGTGCTATTTGTATCAGAAACAGAGTAAAAACTACAAATCAAAATCAAGAAGCTAGACACAATGATATCTAATTTTCTGGATAACAACAGTAAACAGGGTTCCCCATTAAATATTCCCCCTTTCATTAGCTGCTGTAAAGAGATAAGAAGACAATTATGCAACTTAAGGTGTTTTTTGCACTCTGGGGAATAAGTAACGACAGCTTTTACCTCTTCGAGGGTCGTACTATCAAAAGCGAATTGCGTATCTGGAACGCTATATTCAAACAGGAAAATATGGCTACTGCTTAGCTTGTTTGAAAACCACGCACAAACAGTCAGCAAAGAATGCTGGTATCGAACGTCTGAATGTGAATATTATCCCAGTCGTCATGGCCTGAATAACAGACACCCTTCGTCGTGTTTTTATTGGTCGGCTACGAATTTTAGAACACCAATCGGGGGCGTATTGTCAGATACGTTAACTGTTATTTTTCTATTGGGTTTACCGGGCAAATTCCTGCCAATAGGAGAGTAAGGATTTGTTCAAGCAAACTGACAACCATATAAAACGATGCTTCTAACAAGTGCATTTACTCCGTAGAAGTCTTCACCGCGGTTGGACGATGTTTTGCTTGCTTTAAAGAAGTTTATAATGGCCGGCCAAATCGTAGCCAGAATTCTCTTCACTATACTCCCCTTTCTTGCCGAAGCCTTAAAAGTATCACATGACATTCTTACAGCTGATATTTTTGAAGAACAGCCTATTGGTTCACAGGTGATTGACATTGCTCAAGAACTGGAATTGTCTGTTGACAAAGGTTATGTCCCTGCTAGTCCTCATATTGCCTCAAGTTTCAAAATTGTTGTCGCCAATTCAGTGATCAGTGACTACTTTGGAATTTCTCAAAACAGTGGAAGGGTTTCATTGAAAAAGCACCTTGATCGAGACACACTATGCCATAATGAGCGCATCTGTTGCCCAGGAGAAGACGAAAGAATTTCTAACCGAGTTGCAATGCCAGATGGAAGTTTATTTCTACGTACGGCCGAAAAATGTCAGGTCTCATTCCGCGTCGTTTATGACATCGTTGAAAACACAACTGAATTGGAAGAAGTCAGGGTAGCTTTTTGTTCTGTCGATATTAATATCCTCGACATAAACGACTGTGCGCCCAGATTTTTGATAAAAGACATTTATCCTACCTACGGAGGTCATTACCTACCTCAGTCAAAATCGATATCTATTATAATTCCTGAAAACACAGAACCCAACACATGTTTTGAACTTCCCATGGCCTTTGATGAGGATTCTAGTAGGTTCAACGTTCAAGACTACCGATTGGAAGCATCAAAGAAAAACGAACGAACACTAGCTGAGACTATACGCGACGCGTTCGCAATCAGGTTGGGGAGCTGTGATGCTGACTTTCATGCTATTTATGAGGCCACAGGTAAATCGGACATGACCAATCTGAGACCATATTTACAGCTCCGTCAGCGGCTAGACAGAGAAACAATCGCCAAATACCACTTGAAAATGGTAGTGACAGATGGGATAGGCTCGGATGGTCTGAATGCTCAGTTTGACAAGCGCGTAAATCTACTGCCTCACACCGTTAGTCTCTCGATTACCGTCATCGTCGAAGACGTCAACGATCATGCACCTGAAGTTGAGTCTAAAGTCAATATAAAATTGAAAGAGGATACGCCAGTTGGAACTAGAGTTACGCAGATCATCGCTCGGGACAAAGATGCTGGAGACAACGCCAAAATTCGTTATGAGATTCGGCCACTTGGAGCGTCTAAGTCATTCCGTTTCCCATTCTCCATTGATCCTAGCAGTGGAATCATATCAGTAATCAATCCCCTAGACGCCGACACATTGCCACAGGAGTCCCAAGGTGTAATGACGTTTTTAGTCATTTCCTCAGACGCCGGACAGGATGTGTCACTTTCCAGTACCACTACCGTGAACGCACAAATTGACGACATAAATGACGAGATACCCGTAATTAGGACAGTTGATTTGGCAAGTAGAAGCGACCCTCCTAGGCCCACAGTTCAGGAAAATCTCCCACCCGGCACACTTGTTGCCTTTGTTACGGTCACTGATGCGGACTCAGGAGTCAACGGAATGGTCTCATGCCATGTGGACAATCCGAAATTCGCCCTTGAATTGATAAGCGACAAAAATGCACGGAAAAAAGAACTTCAGCTTGTTACAAAATCTGTCCTTGACCGTGAACTCTCACCGGTACAGCCAGTTACCATAATCTGTGTGGATCATGCCCATCCTGTGGCCTTCGCCAAAACAGGAATTCAAAGGTTTCTTGTTAGCATTGCTGACGAGAATGACAACAATCCAACTTTTCCAAATGATATCTTTGAGATTTCTGTATACGAAAATAACCCTTCTGGGGAACTTTTGCTCTGCCTTAACGCAACAGATGCCGACGAGTTGGTTTCATGGAATTCCGTTCCAAAATTGTCGCCACTAGTTTATGAAATGGGGAAGTCAGGACAGGATTTTTTTAGGCTGGATTCAATGACTGGCAATATTTACACAAAGGAATCTTTCGACAGAGAGAAACAAGCACTATTTGAATTTGACGTCTTTGTGCATGACCATGGAAAGCCTAAACGAAGTGCCAGTGCAAGAGTGATGGTTCGAATTCTAGATAGGAATGATCATGCTCCGGAGTTCGAACAGAAAGTCTACAATGTAAGCGTGTTAGAATCAGTCCCTATTGGTGAAGTTATTCTGAAAGTAACTGCTCATGATAAGGACGAGGGGCCCAACGCGGAATTTACGTATCATCTTGAAGATCTAAGGGTAAGTCAAATTCATTTATATTCTACGCAATGGATCAAAATCGAAATGTGTGTTTTTTTTCCAACAATAAAAGAGTCTGGTCAATCATGATCAGCTAATTTGTTTGCATTACGTAAGCTGCCAGGTTTCCGACGCATAACTGAGCAAGGAGACTGCGTTTTCAGTAAAGGCTTTAAATAGCTTTAGTATCCAAGTTAATTTATTTTTAATGAAGAAATATTTACTTGGCTTTTGGAAATTTCGAAGATATTAAAATTTCTTAGAAAAATTAATTTTTTCGTTAAATTCTTGGGTTTACTTTATGGACAGGTACTTTATAGGTAGCATTTTTATGATATTTCAGACTTTCCAGAAGTTTGATCACGAAGCCGCCCATTCCATAATCGTCAATGTTTTAGTGTTAAAGTTTTTTACACAAACTTAACTTATTAGAAAGTTTGACATCCATGACCTTCATTTGCAGAACAAAAGTAGATTTATTGTTCGATTAGTGGGGCCACACTAAGAAAACGCCCAAAAAGGAAATTTTTCATTTTCCATGCAAGGTGAAGAGCAGATCTCGAAAAATCAGTCAGTCAAGGATGTGTTGGCTGTGTTATATTTTGGCACAGTTGTTTGCCAGGCGGAAGACACTAGTTTCTAAAAAAAAACCGTGCGTCTGCCTAGCACCTCGTAGGAGAAGATAATTAAGGGGTTTTTATAACCACACTGCAGCAAGTGGGCATCGCGACGAAGAACTATGGATACGCATGTTTTTGAACTTTTCTAATAATGCAGCTTATCCCTAGAATCAGGCTTTTTCGAGAGTGAAGAAAACCGTATATAATTTATGCTCACATGTATTTGCCACTCCACAAAAACGCTCACTTGTCCTTATTTACTCTTTATCCTTGTTCGACACGATGTTAATCAAAATGTCTAAAAAATTTTCCAATTTTACCGGTGTAAAGTAGAGTGAGATTGATGATAAATTAACATCGCCATTTTAGACGGTTTTCTGTGCTCTTACACCTGATGCTTCCGCTAGAGGGTACAGCTTAGGTCCCTTATGTTAACCCTCAAGACACGACGTGAGCTCCATTACCATTTGCCACGGCTTACTATTGGTGGTTCAATCGACAATTTCACCAGAAACTATTTGACATTTCTAACTGAAAAATGGGCTGGGATATGAAGGCTTAAATAGGCGAATGGCTGTTCTTCTAAATCAGTCACATATTAGCTCCTAAAAATTTTGCGGTGTCAATTAATAGTAAGATGACAGTAGACTATGTATATTGAGTCAAAAAATAACATGGTTCATGTTATACAACGAAATTCAACTTTATGCTGGTGATTTGTAGTTAACTTACACGGTTCTATTAATTGAACCCCTTAAATGTAAATTCAAGTAACACACCGGTTAAGTTAGTTATTCAAGTAAGAATTTAAGTTTTGCATTACTACCCGTCTTCTCAAAATATGAGGTGAAATCCATTTTGATGGAAGTCTTTGTAGGCAATGTATTGTGATTGCAGAAATCTTTGATGATCAAGATTGCTGTAAATTTTAAACTTCCGAACCTCTTGAATAGAGGTAAAACTTATGACTCAATTTTAGTGTGAATATGAGAGAACCGCTTTTACTAACAAACCGTCAGCATCATTAAATTATTCAGTAACAATGCCTAGGATTTGAAAGTCACTACCAGAGGGTCTACTTTAATATCTGGTCAGACGTTTTACTTCCGATTGAGTTTAATGTAATAAGCTTTATCAATTGCCTGACCCAGGAACTGAGATATTGAAACGTTGCCATTCTCAAACAGGGGTGACTTGACATAAACGTCTCCATTTTGGGGCTTAACCACGGGAAATGCACAATGTAAGTTCCCTTATTATGGGCACTCCCCAAGTTAAATGTCCGAACCCACTTTTTCTAAAATTCAATTGGTTTGAGATGTCTTCTGGTTCCATTTCGTACACACTGAGTTCCGTGTCGCATTGATGAAAGGTCTGTGCAAACCTGTCGATGCCTCATGGCCGAGACAAATTATTAGCTGACAATTCCTTCCAAGAACCACTGGCTTGCCTAAGATAGCGTCAAGTTGAAGATTTCAACGCGATACCGTGAGGATTTTGTTTTGACTTATTTGTTCGTCATGCATTTTAGGCTTGATTGTCTCTGACTGAACATATTTTACACTTGAAAGCTTGGAAACAAGGCTGTGTATTAAGTTAGTTCAATTGCAGACAACTGTGATATTATTTGGTAGTGTATTTTTTCAGTGACAAGTATTAAAATGATAAATACTTACTTCGTCCATTGTTTGAAATGGACGAATAATTTGGATATGCATTTGTAAACAGATGATAGGAAAGGAAGGAACATATTAGTTAACATGAATGAAAAAAGAAATGTTTAAGTAAGAAATATGCAAGTCAGGTTATTTTGATTTTTCCCCCTGGATATACCTTGTTTGAAAAGTAATCCATTTGGAATTGTATTTTTACTGATAAATCTGATCAGTTACACAGAAACCATAATGTAGATTTGCAGTCTAAAATTTACACCGATAAGTTAAAATTAAGAAAATCATTTACATACAATCAACCAGGTAAGTTAGCTTGAACGATATTTAGTACTGTGGATTGGTACTTATTCAGTTGAACAGCCTGCAGTCAACCCAATGAATGCATCAGTCTATAACAAAGGACTAATCGGGTTCCTGGATTTATGTAAATTAAGCAAGCCATAATTACAAAATTCTTTGCATAAACAAAACTTCATCAGTGTCGTATTAGCGAATATTATAAAATGAATTTTTGAAACAGAGCCGAGTTAAACTGTTTTCCGTATGCCATGATACTTCCTCCAATCCATTAATCTAACAACAAACTATAATGTATTTAATTTGATAATATTGAACAGTGGTTGGTTAAATAACCCTTGCGTCATTTCAGGCCCTCAAATTCTAAACTAGGTAATTCGTCTTAACATTTCCAGCAATTCCTTTTAGCATGACATTTAAAAGAAGGAATTTTAATTGTCGTGACATATTTGAGCTCTTAAGAATGGTCTGCACATTGTGATGGCACTGCTGCCGCATAATTGTTTGAGCAAGTCAGATTGAAGAAACGCTTTTCAGCTGTCCGTACCACCCATTCTATGAGGAGCACAAAAGCCATTAATCAGCTGGCGATTTTCTAAATCCTCCTAATCTTTTCCGAAATGACATGGAGCAATTTTAAATGGCCTTATTTGCATAAATCCTTCACCCTACTTTTCAGGAAGCATAATGGGCCATCCCCTAATCAAACCTCTTTCGGTCTTTAATTTTCAACTTGGGTTTTGATGCAGTTTATTTTTACAGGCATTTAATTTGTAGTCTTTTCTGTTGCCGCTTGCGAGTGAAGTAAGTTTCGAGGTTGTGCTTTCAGTGTGAATTGCCACCAGCAGTGCGATTTCTCCTCTGCTCACTCACTGGTCGTCAATTAATTCACTGCGCAGGCTTGGTGGGGGTGGCAACGTAATGCGTATCGTAAACGTAAAAAATTAACCCCTACCCCAACCCATTCCCACTTCCCGAAACAGTTTATGTTGATGAGGATAGGAGTGCATTTGTCTAATGGTTGGCACGGTTAATTAGGGCTCTTCTGCGCTTGCTTCTAATTACCGAAAGTCCTTGTCTTTGGTCGCAGAAACTTACGGGACGTAGGAGAGCGGAGGAGGTTGAGTTTGAAAGAAGACTATGACTTTTCATACGGGATACCAGAACGCCTCGTCTGTTAAATAGAACGTGTCTTTTCTTGTAGCTCCAAATTTGTTGAATAGGGACTCGTACGGTGGTCAGATTCCTGAAAACGCAGACTCTAAATAGAATTTAACAGCAAAGCAACAACCAGACAAACAGCTGCCAGTAAGCAACTTGGCATAGATCCACTGTTAAGCTAAGCGTTTCCTGAAAAACTCACTTCAAGTTAAAGATTTCCGTTACCATTCCAAGGTCAGCCGCCTGTTCCTGTCGAAATAATATCTGATAACGGTTTATAGCTATTCTCCTCCGCATTGTACTGTCCGGAGTATTTGCCAAATAATGAAGTGTAAAAGGCTCCCTTCGCCTCGTTGAGCGACGATTAATTGAGCTTCAATATATGGGCGACTGAATGGAGTAATTACTTCCGGAGGGAAAAGGTATGTAGAACAACCAAAAGAATATGATGCAACTAAGCATCTGGTGTAATATTTTTGCTGTTTTTAAATTAGAAATTTTTCGGAGCTGTAATGATAATTATAACCCACGAATACCCGATTATGCACTTGTGTATAAAAATGTTGCAACCTGACAGGTTTTAAAGGGTTTATTAGGGCTCGAATAAAATTGGGTCACAGTTTGTATTTCATGAAATTCCTTAACGAAATTCGATAGGCTTTAGCTTCTTTGAGTGACATTGTTATATTCCAAGTCAGCATCAGGTTAGCCACAACCGTTTTGGCTTGTATCATCATACTTCAGATCTAAGTGGTTATGAGGGTAGGTTTTAGAGAAATATTATCGTCCTGGTAAAACGCGCTGAAATGCCCAGCCTATTTTTTAGACACACTATATTAACCATATAACAAGCTACATTTCTGAAAGTAAAAAGCATTTGGCATATTTCGGTCTTAGAGCGGTGTCCAAAAATTGAATTATAGAAAGCGTGCTTTTGCTTTTTGTTGCAAAACAGTAGCAATTAAACTTGACCAGAGATAATAATGTCGTTGTGATTTAGAATAATCGGAATCCCAATATATTTAAAGCAGTGACCATAAACGAACCGTGTGTTGGGTGACTTGCAGCGGGACTAGCAGTTTTGACTACTTGCAACCAGTTTTTTGATATATTCAGAACATGTAAAAATGCATAGGTACAGTTAATTTTGTAAAACGAATTGCTTGATAAAAAGAGCTAGATCCTGCTAGCGATTCCTTTCATTTTGTGGGATGGTTGACACGCAGCCTTGCAGTACTAAAAAGTCGCAGATTTATTGCAAGGCATTGTTCTTTCCGTCCTGTTGAAGTGGTTTCAAATCGGGATAGAGTGAGATAGGGATTTATGAAGTTCAGGACCATAGAAAAAGTAGATGCTCCATTTATTTGCAAGTCCCTGTTTCTCTTTGCATTTTATGGAGATGATGTGGTTCTAAGAGTTTTTAGCCAAACACTCTGCAAGTAGATACAATTATTGACATGTCCCAGGATTCAGTAATGCACTCTTCAAGTTAGTAAAAAGGTGAAGTTTCCCCATATAGTCAGTCAAAAACTTCCGACTTTAAGTGTGAAGGTGTGATCAAATGTTTATCGACAGACCTTGATACTTCTGAAATGGGTGCGTTCTGAAAAGCTAGCCACTAAGGCTTGTCGAAGACTACTCTCACAAATTTCACTGTACTTAAAAGCACCTATTCGTTTTTTTCCTATTTGAATGTGAACTAAAGTGGTTGATTTCGCATTGAAGGGCGCGATGAAGATAAAACTGATTTTTTTCGGATGAGTAATAAGAATCTAGTGTTTCTGTACAAATATATAGTAAAACGGAACTATTTTGGTGACTGATTACCACGGATTATGAAAGAACTAGCATGAAAGAATCCCCAAGAAATCGATGTGGATAAGAATCTGAGCACTAGCTGTATTTCCAGTGTGATGCAACGTCTGGGGTATTTGGTTGAACTTTAATGGATGGCATTTATACTTTACTCAATACACAGATTACGTGCGATCATGGATTATCGTGAAGTAGTTTTATTTTTTTAAGCAACAGAGACTATCCACAACACAAAAATGACTCCTACGTGACATAGAATAAGCAAACCGCAAGCGTTTAGGCTGACGGTCATACACGAATGACTGGAGAGAACTTAGTAGGCATAATCTAGGTCTCAAAATTAAGCTTTTGCAAACCGCTACTTAAGTTCATTTCAAAGATTATTTAAAATCCCTTTGTTGAAGGCCTAGATGTGGGTCTAACACCCATATAGGGGGAACTAATTTATTATTGCTGCTGAGGTCCGATAAGACACCAAGTACCTAGAGAAGAACTGGGAGATCGTAGGTGATGGAGACTGAACCGCTTACTGGACTCCTGATTCAGTGTGCCTTAAGCCAGGATTGTTCACTTGAGATTTTGGGTTTTAGACGTGAGCATCAGGGTTCATGTGTCATTGGTAAGTTAGCATAGATCAGTGGGGCTTTATATTTGCAGGAATAGTAAAGGGTAAACATTTGAGTGGACACAAAGACAGGACCAAGTGGCTCAGCAGAGTCCGCAGCAACGGGTAAACATGAGAATTAGGCATGTGTGAACTGACAGCCTGAGCTGAAACTGATTAAAATTGTTTGCCTAATTTGCCTAATTTGTGTATTTCAAATTATATATTATCCAATATCCGAATAAATTAAACGGATTTCGCTGCACCGATTATTTCGGGTGTCAGCAAAGAGGAATTTCAAATAACCTTTCGGCATTGATGTAAACCGCATTTTGTGAATAGATATACATTTTGCGAATTATGTAGTGAACTAAGTCGTTTTTAAAATTCTTGTCACTTTCGGCATTTTCACTAAATTTTCTATTATAGAAGAGAAAACCTGCTAAAGGCTGTTGGAATCTCAGGTGGAGTAGCAAATCTGTAGTGCGAATAGACAACTTTTGCACACTTGTAAGCTGTGCAGCTGTCACCGAGAAGAAAAACACGTCTAAGTTTTCTAAACTATTTTACGAGGAACCTTATAAATTTTTCTAAGTCTGCTTAAATATCCGGCAGTAATAACGGTTTCAAAGTCATAAAAGTTTTTGTGAAATTCTATTTTACTTTCACGTTGATGCAAATTTTGGCACTTTGCATTCCACTGTACGTCTGTTGATTACTAAACAAATATAAAGTCCGTATTTGCAGCATAAACCTACTTGCCTGTCTCATTCACATAGTGAATTCTTCATAAAAAAAATTTCGGTGCCCGTGGAAATGCCTGAAACATTCATTTTAATCAATATAACACTTGGCAATACAAGAAAGTCATTGAGGAAATGAATTGAAATTATTAATATTGGGGAGCAGGGCTATCATTTGATGATGTCCTTGATAAAGTAATCGTTGAAATAAGGACCCTCCATAGAGAGAGACCTCAGGTTACTATATGTTTGAAAGGCTTTCCGAAAATGCCTGCACCGATGCCCCGCCGCACGCATTTAAAAGGCTGTTATTGTACAGTTCGATCAAACATTAACCAATGTGCCTAAATCAGATTAGCATTTGGCAAGCGCAAGGGGCAAAAGTATCCATCTCTATGTATATAAGCCATTTGTGTATTTATTCCGTTTATTAAAGATCTTTGAGAATGCATGACCCCAGCGTTTAAATTTCAGTTGATTGTGACGTACTTTTTATCTGAGTAGCGCTTTATGCAGACCTAATAATGCTCTTGGAATGCAAAATTATGGTAAATGCTGAAATTAAATGCTCCATGAATGGTAAAAATTTGTGGTTTTCCTTAAAAACTGATTAAAATTAACATTGTTGGCACCTCAACTAACAATTCATTTAACCACATTCAAATGTTTTGGCTCCAGAATAACGCTGCTAAATAAAGTACGACACCGAATGGCGACTTTGTACTTGCTTGTAAAAACAGCCAATCAATATACAACCCCAAACATCTTATTAATTACTGGATAAGTCATTGCTATCAACATGCGGCATCTTACTAATATTACTCGAGTAAGAATGTTTTAAATGCATAAATTATGCGTTCACAATATAGTACAAATGTCAATATTTTTTTATTGAAAACGTGAATTCGGTTAAGTAATGAAACCCTCCAATTAAATTACCTTAATACAAACTGCCTGACTTAAACTGCGATCGAAAATCGATATCCATAATCATTTACTCAACCGACTTTATAGGGAATTCAATTTCAAATGTTTTCATAACGATATTATTAACATCAGAGTACCATCTTTTGAGTACACCAGAAAAGAATTTTTTTACAATCTACTGAGATACAAATAAGCACTCTGCAGTTAGAATGTGTACAAGGATATTCACGAAGGTCAGAATCAGAGGTGACCACCAACCTCCAACTGGGAAATCGATGTGTTCGCAGAGTAAAACTACCATGGAAAGAAGGCTTGATTGATACATTTAGAGCATATCAGCTAAAACAATTAAACACAAAATATCTTAACTAAGGCAGAAACTAAGTAATGATTTAGGGCTCTTAAAGATATTCAAGATTGAATTAACTCAGTAATTTGTTTTAATTTATTTGTTTTTGCTTTAGGGTTCCGCTCAAAAGCATTTCCGACTAGATTCCCATTTAGGGAATTTAACACTCCTGACTGAATTGGATCGTGAAGTTGAACCATACTATACCTTTCAGGTAAGAGGCAGGGAAAGAGAAAAACAAATTTCTTGTTTTGGCAAAAAGTGTTTCAAGGATGGTTCAAAGTTTTAAGTTCAAATTGTGAAAACCACAATAACACTCGTCCAAGGCAGAAGGCAACCAACGCAAGGCTGCTTTAAACGCTCCAAGTGACAAGTGGCAATGATTTTTTCTTCAGCGTGAAAACTATGGCTTCATTTAAAAAAAAGTGATTTCACGCAGCTCTTTGAATACCATGAAAATTATGCAGACCAAAATAATTGGTAATTTTGGCAGAGACAAAAAACTGCGTTTTACGAAACAGTAATGTTCACATTAAACCCCATGGGAGTTTTTGTGAAGGCGCCTCAAAGTAAGGCTTACTACATAAGCTGATCATAATAGGAAGAGCTTGCGACCACTGGACTCTAGAAATTAGTGCGAAATGTTCATTAAGGCTACTTTGGATTGCATAAAAATTGTCACTATTATGCATGCAGTTTTTTGAGATTTAAAACAACTTTTAAAAATGGGGAGAACATACAGCTCCATAGCACACAGACCAAAAGAGCTTGAATATTGGTAGGCAAATTATTGCCATTATTCGGCTAAATAAGCTTTTTGATCGCGATGCAACCTGAGTCTGGAGCTGTCACCCTTAGGCTGTGCTGAAAGCAGTAATTGTGATCGATTTAACAGGCGTGTTAACCCAGTTACATCAACCAAGAGAAATGCACGAGAGATCTGACGTCATATGCGTCAAATACAGATATTGAACACACAGCGCATTAAGAGTTAAATAACATGGACAAGACGCATTAGATTATTGTCCCAGCCACGTTAAATCTGAAGGTGCCTCCGTGGTGTCTGGGAACTAGTGTGAGATTAGATAGCATTAGTGACAACCGAAACCTTTCTTAAGTGGACAACGAATAATCATCCAAAAGAGGATTTTCAATGTCTTTCACCTATATAAATTTCTATTTGTTTAAAAAAGAAATTAGAAAAGATTATTTGAAGTTCTTTCAATTCGGCTACCTACTCAGTCCAATCACAGTGGTATAAAACTAAACACCTCACAGATTCATCCATGTTAACTACTTGCTTCTTGAACCCGATGGGACCTTCTCTCCTCCCCAAAACCAGTAATCACTTTCAGTTCGTGCACATTGTACACGCTACCACAAAAGCCACCTAATGGACCGTAACTTCACCCAAGTGTGTCGTCCATGGTTTATCGGCTATTTTTTGTCAAATACATTTATGAGCAGTAATTATAATCTACAACCATATTTTGTGGTTCCTTATTTAAAACTTTACGTTTTTCTTGACTGAAGCCTTTACTATTTGCTGCATAGCTGAATGTCATTTTTTAAGGATGGCTTCGGCCACCTAGCAAATTCGGTCACCTATCAGTTAAGAAAACCAATCCAGAGAAATTAGAAACTAAATGGCTTGGCATTTATAGGCATATTGATTCGCCGAAATTTACAGCACTGATACCGAATGGTATGTGGTATGATGTAGTAAGAAGACATAGGCCTTTTACAATTGTGGTGTGTAACTCCGTTAGCTTAAGCAAGATTAGGTGAGTAAAAGGAAAGGCGCTTCTTTGTTAATTTTTCAAGACTAGTATAATAGCTAGTAACGAAAGCGGTGTTTTGTTGGTGAAGAAAGTTCTGCAACTTTTGTGCAGGGCACCAATTACAAATGCGAAAGTCTGTTAATAGTTCAGCAAGTTTCATATGTTACCTATGGCAAATAATAAGTTCTAAGCTTTCATTTGAATACCGCCCTGAGAATAAGTGCAAAATAAAACTGAATACTTCTTGCTCCATCTTAGTCCAATGGCCAAAGACAATTACGCTAAATTGGGCTTAATTCAAAGCCACCATAAATCGCGTGTGCGATGGGCCTGGTTATTTGTCTACCTAAATCCCATAATGCAAATTAGATTCACAAAACAGCCTCTGCCTCTCCATAATTTTACTGGCGGGCTTTGCTTTGTGGTCGCTGCTATACGCTGTTCATTTGTGCGCAAGCAAAAGCTATGTGGCTATTTGTGTTTGCCTTCGAGACAAATTTTCCAATTTTTTTTAGATCTACGCTGTAGACAAAGGGACGCCCCGACAAACGTCATACTGCAGAATCAACGTCCAGGTCCTGGATGTTAACGATAATCCACCGAAGTTCGTTTACCCAACTCAATTAAATCACACCATTGATTTTACTTCGTGGGACTCTCCGGTTAGTCTTGCTCTCACTTTGTGGAGGTGACAAGGTTTAGTATAAGAATAAAAGTAAGACGTGAATGGTTACTATATGGAGTTTCGAGAACTAGAGTATCTATAAAGGGAATTATACTTATTTTAAGCCAGTTGGTTGCGAGTCTGATACCTGGAAGTGGCAAATGTTAGTTACCTGTGACCGTCCCTGATATATTTGCTGAATGGTAGGTAAATATCCTTTACTAGCAATGAAAGAACTTCTTGGAATGTCACGTATTCCAGCTCGTCGTTAAGCCGCACAAAAAAACTTTTTTATTGGGTTTCGCTGTTGAACTATGTTTATACCTACTCAATGGGACAGAAAAAATCAGGTGTTGGAGGTGCTGTTAGTCTTTCCGACCACAGCATCCCCATTCCTAGTTACTTCGTGTTGTATCACGCTACAGATGGGTACAATTGAAAATTAAATTGATTTCTGAACAACTTTTACGTCAAAATAATTTGTTTATGAATCGGATTCTCGAATACAACAAAGATTTGGTGTGATTATTCAGAATAAAAATACGATAATTTTTATTTTTTCAACCTGTCAGCGTCAACGTCTCGGTCCGTGAACTTAGTGCATTAACGGTGAATAACAAAATTCTCATCACAATCCTCAACTACAGTTACATCTAAGCCATTCTACAAGAGACAAAATTTGCCACTTCTACGAAAAGCATGAATGAACAGTCTGAATGAAGGGGTCTCAAGTGTCGCCATTGGGTACTATGAGATAAAAGAAGTTATTTCGGATAACAACGTAATCACTACATGGAAACAACTGACTTTATTTGACAGCACTTTATAACATTGAAGACATGAAAGGAACATCCGTACATTTTTTATCTCCACCTCTATTTCTATGGCAAGTGCACAAATTGGAGATGCTAATGTGTGCGGCAATGACAGAGACGACGACTTAGACGTTGCTGTCTATGAATATGTCTATTTAATGTTATATAGGAAGGTACATAAAAAAGTTTAAATTTTAGAACTCTTTTGATAGAAATGGTTGCTATTGAAATTTACCCAAAAATCAGCACTTCGAGGCAATCGTTCGATGAGTAAACCAAGCGACTCTTGCTACGATAGCTTCACGTTTGACTTGCTTTTCTAATAGGGACCTTAACACTGCGGATTTAGTCCAAATTAGCTGACTTGTATCAGAAATGAAATGTTTTAAAGTCGTTAACAGAATTCAAAGTACAGTGACATATATTTGATAGTTTACTGTCTGTTTTTTGAAATCTTACCAGCAAACTGTAGTGACAACATTTGCTATCTAATAAGGGTTGTGAGCTTAATCATAACCTCAAAGCTATTCTGATTTGAAGGAAAAATTTTTAAAATAACTCCGGATGCCTTGTGCAGGACAAAAGGCAGCTATCCACTGAGTTCGACGCGGAAACACTACTCTCAGGCTATTCTGGATTATTTGTTACCGATAACGAAAGGTTGAAATTTGCTGGCTGCTTTCTTTTCAGGGAAGCCCGCTTATCAAGTTGACGGCTACGGACAAAGATACGGGCGTGAATGCAGAGAAAATTTTCCTAATTGCTGAAGGCAATGAAATAGGTATATTTCAGCTGGATCTGCAATCTGGAGACTTAAGCTTGAAACCTGGTCTTGATCCTTTAAAGGTGGCGGGTCGCTACAATCTTAAACTGGAGGTGAGTAATGAAACCTTCATAATTGAATAAAAGCCTTAGTCTATAGCTAGGAGCTACTATCATGTCATCGCGCCAAGGATTTTCGCTTGTATACCCTGGTGTATGATTTTGCCAATTCAAATATTGCTCAGAACATGACAAAACTCATCTTCAGTTAGTTACCTTACCGAAAACGATGACCATTCAGTAACTCAAACCACAATTCCTACATATAAATACGCCAATATTAATAGGTGTTGGTGGTTTCCAAAGGCTTCAGACTGCCCCGACAGTCCCCCTGCGGTAGAATTGAAATTTGATTGGTTTATTTTAACTTGCTAGGAGGGGAAAAAGTAATAGATTGATAGTTGTCATTTCGTACCTGAGCTTTGCTCTCTACCGATTTGTATTCAACGACATTGACGGATCTGATCATTTATCTTATGTGAGAATCCCAAACAAAGCACAACATGTAGACAATGACTAGTTGATTAACACTTTGACCTTAAGTTTCAGTATCATTTTATGCCGCAGTGATTGATGGACGCTTTCCCATTAGCATATGATCTGACTGCCTACATTTCCATGGGAACGGAGCCAGCGGTTAAAAAGTCATACGAAAATGAAATTTATTCAAATCTTTGAAAAGTTACTTATTTTTCAAGAAATTAGTGCATCGTCTTTATCCGGAATTTCGCCTGCAAGATATGACATTTTGCCTCTATTTTTGAGCTTACCAGCAGTTGAACGAATTCCCAATAATCTTCACTGATTTCCTGCGATTCTCTTATATTTTTAGCGGCGAAAACCCGTTTGTTTCCGCTGGGGTTTCACTCGAGTGCGTAAAAAGCATGTGACAGGAATTTTGTGTGGGCTTGCGCATAATGCTGATGGTGGCGGCAGCGATGGCGGTTGTTGTTTCGGTGCGGCAACTGAGATATTTAATTTTGTTTCGTGCACAGTAAATTTTCGAAGACTTGGGTAATAAAGCGCCACACACATCTTCATTCATAAACTTCTACTTTGCCTAGCCACGGGGAATTTTTCATGGACTTCCGGTCAATCAACCTCGGCTCACCAAGTCCTTTAGTTTGAAGTATAGTATGCGGTGGTCGGAAGAACCAAGAATGTTAATCCTTAAGCTAGGTTCGAAAATAATGGCGTCATTGTGCTTAAAAAAATAGCAGTATATTTCAAGGGAACACTTTCTAAGATGGACTGATTTGTCAACCTCACATCTGAGAGGGCCCAACTTCTCAAGAACAGTACAACGTACACCATAGCTAAGTAACCTTAAATACCGCCTTCTGCATAGAATTAACCCTATTTACCATGACAGCTGTAAGTTATTCTGCTTCGTTGATAAAAACGCGCCATGGAAAGAAGGATACTGATCACTGACACTTCCAGTGACATAGAACCAATTTGGATCCACTGGCACAACTGAACAAGAATCGTGCATACTATCATAAAGGTGATAATGATTTAAAAGTAATTGTATCACCAGGTCAAAAATTGGAACTTAATCTGCTGGATGTCATTGACTGATGATAAGTTCAATGATGATCTCTATGGAATCTCCGCACAATTTGGTACTTTGTCTTTGTTTCATGTGTCTCCTTTATGGTTAATATCAAGAGCAAATAACGCCACGTTTGAGATTTCCGTGGGGCTGCAAAAGCATGATCATTAATTTGACTTGTCAGGTTATTAACACGTAGTAATTCCAATGATTCGGTCAAAGGTTAGTTGATGGTGTTCCAATCTTCGTAGGTGCGCGATGATGGATCTCCATCTTTGTCGGGATTCACCTACATCACGGTGATTCTACACGCCACCCGATCTCCTCCCACTACTTCGACTCTTTCACCACGTAGTGTACTTGTGGACCGAAATCCGCGAAACCCCCAAAAAGGTTCTCTCAAGTCTGATCGCGAGACCAAGGACCCCCTTTTGTCATATGCAAATTCTCCTAACAAATCTCCGGAGTCTCAACATGACTGGGAAGATCGGGATGAAGGCAACTTTGGAAGCGAGCACACATTGATTTTAATTATATGCCTTTCAGCTATCGCAACAATGCTGGTTTTCATCCTGTTTATAATACTTGCATGGATGCGACGGAGGAGTCTTCTAATAGCCGCACGAGGCGGAGCGCAGCCCCAAGTGCGAGGGTGTACAACCCCGAAGATCGGGCTGGTGCGAGAGAGAACGAAGACTGTGATAGTTGAGGGGGCTCCAAGGAGCTCTACAATGAGTTCGCCCATAATTTGGACTGATGGAGGGATTGACGGGTCATCAGTAACTGCCAAAATGACAAGGACGGCCTCTCCTGTGTACTGGCAAAAGATGACGACAGGTCTTAAGGGAATGCATGGAGGGAGGAACGTAGGTTGATATGTTAATAGGTCATTATTTTTATATAATGTAGTAAAATGTAATATTTATAAATCATTTGAATTTAAAAATTATTAAGTTGTATTTCGAGGAACCAGACTACGTAAAGAAACACGGTCGAAATCTGTGGCTATATTTGAATGAGAAGTTTACCAACATTATGTTACGAATCCCGGTACACAGATGCGAAACCCAGAGTGTAGGTAGTCGAACCCCCTTGTTAGCACGTGAAGATTTTCCTACACAGGCACTTAGACAAAACGCGTATGAGTCAGCGCCTCCTCGCGCAAATGCAAGGCCTTTATTCAGAGGGCTTTCACCGTGTCAGCAAGCGGCAAGGGCCGAGTGCACGCCACATGCGCGGTCTATATATGGCTTGTGGGGGGGGGATATTAATACGAAATACTAAAGATAATAAAAAATAGAAAATCATGAAAGAAACAACCAATTCAGTTAAAGGATTATGCAAAAATGGTTGATTTTGATTTTCCAATGCCAAAAATCTCAAAATTTGCAGGTTTAACATTGAATAAGTTGATGCCTGCTAGGCCTAGCAGATTTTAGTTGAACTTAGCTGTCTAAGACAAACAGCGAGTGGTCGTTGCATCGGTCTGCACACAAAGAGGACGGATAGCTTCTGCCAATTAATACTAAAATTTCAAACGTGATCATTGTCACATGTGAGTTTCACAGAACAAAACCCTATTGCACGAACTTCGTCTATGAGTTTAGTTATCACAAGCAATTAAGCAGCACGATGACTTCAGTGAGCTAGTTTTTCGTTCATTTCAAGCCACTGGGACATTAATAATCATCGTTTTTACATTTAAAAAAAATGGTCTTATCTTTTAACATGCATGTTAAAAACACAGTACAACAGGAAATCAGTGTCTATTTGACTTAACTGCTCCATGTATTGTCTGCGCAATTATCGCAGCAAAATAACTCTGCACTGACTACGTTTAGGCTTTTCTTCTCATTATAATCTAAAGGTACACAATCTTTCTATTATCGCTATAGGATACACAGCAAGTAAACAACTGTCTCTATGCAGCTTCACTGGGACGAAAACTGGTTTATCACAATTCCACAGAGGGCACAACACCTGTAATCACTTGTAATATGAGTGGCAACACTTATCTCTCGGTTCCTGCGACAAATTACGGTGGTCGTAACACCAAACACCTGGATGATTTCCCAATGAGCCCCGGTACGATTATTTCAACATGCTTTTACGCGGTCTACTATTTTCAAAGCATCTGTTTAAAGAATATTTTGTGATTTGAGGCTTGACAATTTTTTAGTGAAATTTTATAAATTCTCTAAGAATCAAAATTTAAAATATATATTCAATTTTTTTGACCAGCCTGGGTCATTTAAAAAAACGGATCAAATGTTAGTTTGTCAGTTACCTAAATAAGTTTACGTCCTAGGAAGGCAGACCAGAAGTTGAGTTTAATAAATAGCAAGAATGGAGGCTCTGATTCAACCCTCATTGGATATTTATGGGACTTCTACTAAGACGACACCTCTAACTAATTTCTGCTAATTTAAATAACAAGTCGCTTTACAATGTCCGTTTCAGTATACCAGTCCTTAATTCGGTCAGCGCACTTAACTGACCCTCAGCCTCTCCAGTCCACCCCTGACGCCGCGGCGTACCGCAGCGTCTGCGGTAGCCTTCCACGTCCCCCAACACAAGCCTCGAACACCATTGCCACCACAGACTCTTCTATCAAGAATCCTTTGCAGAGGGACTCCGACTCATCTGGTGTCCCCCACCGGCCCCACAAAATTCATATTCGGAGATGGGAGACGGCCCCCAGAGAAGTTCCTATCAGTGGAGCAGGCGGTGGTGAAAGTGAGATTTCCTCTTTCTCGACAAAAAAATCAGTTGAAGTTGTTCAAAGAAAGGAAGATGATCGTCTTACGTTGCTACCAGGCAACGATCAGGAAAAACACCAACAATCAACAGCAGCCTTTAACCGCCTCCCCTCGTCTTTTGTATAACGTAAGCAACTCCGAAACGACCTGAGATAGGACGGAATTTTCTTTTCAACAAAACGCCTGGATACTTTTATGAGTCCGAAGTGCTTTTTTAATTCCGAAATTTATTTTACTCTTAGAAAACTGAATTCCTGTATTTAACCGTAGAAGTCATGGACTGTACTATTTGTTTAAAGATAATTGAAATGATAATCAGACACGGAATATTTTGAGGTGTGGACATCAAACACCCAACAGCCAGGACTATAATTTTACTGAATGAATGGATTTTCAAGCATTTTTGAATGTCTTCGAAAAGTTCAAAAAAATCCTAGGCATGAAAAAAATTTCAAAACAATCTAATAAATTTTAATTTCATGCACACTTGCAGACGTTAAAGGGGCCATCTTAACATTAATTGAATTTTAATGAGAATAAAGTTGCAAATTTACTAATTATCTGTTTAATCTTGGATAGATTTTAAATGGCTGACTGTATAAAAAATCCACCTTGCAAATCGGCCTGAAAATAAATATCTCTTCACTGCTAAGGTATGTCAATCTCACGGAATCACATCGAGCAACTCGGACCTAATTTAAGTCAGGAAAAAGGCTGAAACCTTTTAATATTCTTGCCTAAGCAATGGATGAGGTTGAAATGCAAGGAACTTACTAACGGAATCACGGAACAAAATGTTTCAATCCACAATTTACCCACTTAATTATTGGCTTGGTAGACTATCATGCATCTCGCTATTTTCCTTGGATTCATTTACAAAAAAAACAATTAGGAAATTTCACCGTTTCTTTTATTCATTGATTTGGATTAACTAAGTGGTTATAATTAAGGGAAAATTTTTGTTGGATGCCAACCCAAATTACATCGCAATAAGTATGAAGTCTTGCGTGTCCCTTAAATCACGTAGCAAATTTGTATTTTTGTTTTACTAAGGCAAATTCTCGCCTCATTGTATACTGTCATGTATGGAAAACATATTCTCTTATATCTAAGGCCTCTTGAAGTCCACCAGGTAGGAATAAAACGTTGCAAACACAGCATCCAAATATACACAGGGTCGCAGTTATGATTTGATTGTAGTTATTTTATATATTGATGTGTTAAGGATTGGGATTCATTCACATATTGTTTTCATAAAGCTTCAAATGAGTGCTTGAAACACAGAAAATGGAATTTCTGCAGGAAAATACAAACAGGTACAAACAGGCAAGTAGAGGTCGAGTTTTTGCTTGAATTGGAACTGCATTGCAATTACATCCAAAATTTCACTTCTTAATTAAAATTGAAATTAAGCAAGGATTTTTCCAGAATAAACATTTTAAGGCGGTTCGAAAAGTAAGAAAATTTACAAAACAGTAAATGCTTGAGGAAGCAGCTGGTGTACCTTACAAATAAAGTCTAGGTGTCATCATTTGTGCAAATTTGTGCCCCCAAATCGTGGTTAATTTAATACCTTTCTCAGCTAGGCTTATGGTGGGATACAAATTGCACATAGGCAGGTTGGTTAACCTTCCTTCTATGTGATTTATTTTCCCGGGTTTAATTTAGTCTTTTATCTTGAGAGGAAAGGTATTGTTTCTTTAAGAGGTGATTAAGATTTCTAAAACTAAATTTCCTTTGTATTAGAGAAAAGCCAGAAGGTATCTTATTAAAACAAGCCCCGGGGTGAAGGATTGGTGGTTAATGCAGTCAAAATAGAGAAGGGCCACAGTGCAAAACCTTTGAACAAAATGTGGGATGAATATGCTCCTAAAACTACCGCACAAAGAGCGTGTAAGCCACCAGAGAAGGCCTAATATATATAAAACATCCTCATCTATCATCCGCAGCCAACGGTTTAATTTTCGCAAAAGCAAATAAAAATTAGTAACCAGAGCCCTAAAGTACTTGGCACACACTTTCACACAGTGTGTTGAAATAACATTCTGACAGCTGTTCGGTCAATGGCATCTTCCTACAATGATTACAATGAAGAATAAGAAACCGAGCTAACACTCCGCTACCCTCACTTTTACAAACTTCATCACCAAGAGCGACACTTTTCGCAATATTCCCCGAGATGATGTAGTTTTATGTGGTTCAGCCAAAACACTAGCCTGCAATTTAATAATTCATGCAGGTTCGCAGTTGAATCGTATTGCAGTTTTGTATTCTGGAAAGGGAAGGAAGGTTTCTTCAGCAAGTACTTGGGGTATTTCCTTGAGACTTAATTCAATGAATCCAAAGAGTGGTTGATGAAATCCGACAGTAATAATTTACATCAAGCTCATTTATGTTTGTTGCTGAATCGGTTCCAAAGCACTAAAAATTGTCAAAGTTGTCATTCATAATCTCAAATACCGCAGCATTTGTTGCGTTTCAATAAAGGAAATGGCTACCCTAACCTAGATGGGATCCAGGCAAATCATGAATACACAATATAAGAAGAGGGAGGAGGCAAAACCAGTAAAGGCTCTATGCTTTTTCGCTTACAGCCGGTAGCTGAGTTTTGCGTGCCAGTGAATATACTTCAAATGGAACTCGCGACTGACAGTCAGATCCGGGAAC